TATATATATATAAAAGGTTCATTATTTCATGTTGAATTACAATGTGATGCTACTTAAAGTAACAGTTGTGACATCAAGAGGTCTAGTAGTCTGCAGTGCTTCAAAAGAGAAATTTGAAAAGGAGAAGCTAATCCCATATTAAAAATAGAGAAATGCACGTGTATCAGATCCATACCCAAACAGTGGCTAAGAAATGCACTCTTGTCAAGAAGACTAAAGCTACAGCATTGCCCTGAGATGCCTGCATGAATTAAAAGGAAAAGGCTGCCAATTAGCTCATTGTGCTCCCTAGCTGTGGGAGCATTTTTTTCTCACAACTGCTTCCTTGGTTTGCTTAAGAATCTAGCAGGGTACAAGCCAAAGTAACATTATTATGCTTGTCTTCATATAACATGCTAGGTTTGCCAGGTGCCAGTGCAAAATATGGCTGCTTCAGCTGCAGTGCCTCCACCACACATTGCCCCAAACCAAACGTGGTTTGTCTGTTTGTGGCTTACCATCTGAAGTGTATCCAGCCAATGAGTTCTGTAAACAATGGTTTAGCATGTTTTGTTAACACAGCCTATACCTTACATTTTTATGCAAACTGAAGTGGCAGAAGAGAAAAGAAAAACAGAGATGCAATTAACAAGCTGCTTTAATGTCTTTAAGGATTTCTTTTTTAAAAAAAGATAAACTGCATTATATGGAATGCTGAGAAATAATCAGATATACATTAAAAGCAATTCTTAACAATTCAGAAATAGAAGTCAAATAGGCCAGCCTGGACAACTATTATCACTCTATATCAAATAAACACAGAATTACACAAAAGTAATGATGTGCCCAATTTCACATTAACTACATGTTTTCGTCTAAGAACTCAGATATAGAACTGAACGTTCTAAGTTACTAAAACTGAGCTGTTACGGACTTAGTTTTCACAAGTCTTTCTTCCTGTTTATGTTGCTATTTTTATTATCTGATTTAAAACTGCAGAAGTACTTTATTTACATAAAATTCCAGTCCTCAACATTCATATGTACACAAATTATACAAATTAGAAACTGTTCTGGACATGAAACTATTTAGCAAACCTGCCTCAGCTGGAAAATAATATTTAAGCTTTGACTCTCTTCTCCCCTCAATTATACCGTCTTGGAATTCTAAGATTAAATAGTGAAAGCACTCTTTGCTGACACCTAATTACATAAAAATAATTGTGAAAACCAGTTTTTAGTAACTGTATACAAAAGACCCTGGAAAACTGGACAATAGTAATTCCATCTATCACCTGCTGAAATTCAAACAAAAATATTTTATAAAACAGCTGAATACTACCTCAGCATACTGTAGAAAGTTGTTAAAAGGTAGCATGGAGAGTTTTGGGGAGTGGCGTGGTATAGTGCGATGAATTGAGGGAGAGGGGGAAAATCAGGAAGTCTTTTTTCCCAGTGTGTACAGAATACCTGGTGCCATAAGCTGCTGGCTGGAACACCAAAGAGATGGAGGTTGTTATTTTCACATTTACTTCATTTGCTTTTGTTGTAATAGTGAAATTTGAGGCAGAGTAAAACTGTGATTTGTTATAAAACTATAACTGATCGCCGTACAGTGATCAGACTTTTGTGTTAGTGACAGTGGGAAGAATAGTAGCTAGGAAGATGTCTCCTGCCTGAACAGGAGTAAAACATCACTACCACACAGAATTTCCATCTTTCCTCTACTTATGTCAGATTTCTGCAGCAATAACAATGACCTGTAGAATGTTCTTATCTCTCAAAATCAAACTGTAACATAAATGTGGAAAGTTTAATTTATTCTTAAATATAATTATTTTGTCCAAGTTTGTTTCTAAAATAAAATAATAAAAATAAAATAAAACAGTAGTTGAATTATGTGAAGAGCCAC